CATGGTGCAACAGCTGGATAAACACACATATGGAAATGAGGAAGAGTGCACCCCACACACACCAGGATATAAAGAACATGCTTCAACTTGTACACACATGCATCTCTCACTCACCACAGTATGTACACATACATCTAAACATATTACTGTATCTGTCTCCCTAGGGTTACTGGCCAGCATGCCATCATTGCGATCAGCAGTTCAGCTTCAGCAGTAGTAGCAATGGTGGGAGCAGTAGTGTAGATGGTTAAAAATGCCAGTGCCTTTTCATGTCATCTGGACCTGCACTGAATAAGGGTAGGATACAGTGGCAGCCAGTTGGTGCCTCTTTGTGGAAAATTTAGGGAGGAAATCCCAAGAGTCAATGTGTCTCCGTTCTGAGCTGGAGGAATTACCTCTAGCAGGAAGTGGGGGGAGGGTTATTTTCCAGAGCCCATTTTATCTTTGGCTTCTCTGCCAGGACTGCCAACAAACAGGGCAAATGTGATTTATGTAGTGTGGATACCTCCCTCCCCACTAGAAATAGACTGAGACCCAGTTTGTTTTACAGAAGCCTCCAGATAGCAATGACTTTTACTTGGTCATGACCAGGCAAGATTCAGACTGATGACCTACAGGTAAAAAGCTCCACATCCCATTACCAATTCCCTGGTCATTTATATTGTTTCCCTCCACTCCCAAAAGAATACTTAATATTGCTTAATCTCAGTGATTTGTGCCTATTCACAGTTGTATGTGTTATTACTTCTCATATGATTTAGTAAGAGTAGGTCACATTTGCCTCTTCTTTCTTGATGCAATTTCTAACCTGGCCTTGATTTCTAGTGAGAATGGGTGTTACACACAGAAGTCCCCAAACAGGTTCAGTGCCAGTGCATACCCTAGTAAGATGGGCATTGTACATATCAGTGAGCAGCTTGTTCCCATGGCCCACTCCAAGCACTGAAATACAAAAAACAACAGGAGGCCATTAATCGGTCACATAAAAAGTTATTTTGGCATAAGCATTTTTATATAGCACCACACTCTCCCCTGGCACCGTTCAGACACAGAAAAAGCAATATCTGTGTACCCAGAATTTATAGTCTAACTGTTTCTGCCTCTCTCTTTGTTGCTGAGAGTTGCCACCACCCACCCAAACCTCTGACTGCCACTAAAGCCACAACTAATAAGAGCTACGTGCTAGTGTTAGCTTGTGCTTTTCATCTGTAGATCCCAAAGCACCCTACAAAAGAAGGGCCGTATCATTATCCCCATTTTACAGATAGGGAAACAGAGATACTTGAGCAGTCAGGTTCACACACGGCAGAGCCAAGAAGAGAATATAAGTCTCCCAATTCAGTTCCTTCCACTGGACCACATTGCCTCTCTGAGAATAATTAGTTATTCTTGTCTCCCTGGCTTATGATTCAGGACCCTCTCAGAACAATCATATCTGATTTGTGTGTTTCTACTGTAACTTACCATTTCTACCTTTGCTCGTGACCTACAAAATTCTCAGATGCTGCTAGTAGCCAGCACAGTGTTTTGTGAGCCTATTGTCTATTAAAAACCCCTCTATCCTATACCTGGTAATTTCACGATGAAGCTATATTCTTCTCTTTCAAAACAAAACATACCAAACACTCCAGATGACTTTGTATCCAGACGGTGACCTGCTCCGATTTTCAAGTGAGTGAATTCTGGTCCTCTAACTACAAGGGAAAGAAATATAGTGTATGGTTTGTGGCATACACAACATTTAATTTCACTATAAAGAAAGAAATATACCAAGCTTTTCTGATCATTCTGTTCATTCCCTTTGGGGCACCTGCCATTGGCCACTGTCAGAGGACAGGATACTGGGCTTGATGGACCTTTGGTCTGACCCAGTATGGCCGTTCTTATGTTCTTAACAACAGTATGATGGTAACAGGCAATATACGTGGTCCCAATGCAATTTAATCTTGCTGATTCCAAGGTGTTAAAAATCTTATGATTTACCGTGCACATAGTCAAGCCATTTCTAATAAATCACTGCCTAAAATGGAATGAAAGTCCTCAATCTCTCCAATGGATTCTCACTCTTCTCTCCACTACAAGCAGGTTGCACTGTGTTTATCCCCTTTGAATGCAGTGATTACCAGCTACCTGATAATTGTTAGCAGCTGCAATCTAAGGGAATTAACACTTCTTATTCCTCTTTTATTCTGGCTGTGTTTTCCCACTGGGCAAGTCAAATCTAGAAATGATAGTAATGGTATACACCAGCTTTTCCACAGAAATCAAGATTCTTCTCCAGCCTCTTACCTAGTGGGTGGGCAGCCAGGACAGGCAACCGGGTAACAGTGAGGGTCAGCTCTTTCCCAGCATTCCCTTCTACAGTGGTTGGCAGGAAGCGTACTTGCTGCTGCACAGCTGGCTGTTCCAGAGAGTTCAATTCTACAGGAAATGGTACAGAAAACCTCTGCTGATATTTTTAAAGTGTATTATCTTGCAAATAAGCCCAGTTAAGACCCGCCCCGATGATCTTCCTGGAAAACAATGGGACACAGTCTGAAAAGAAAATACAGTGAAGGGAGTGATAAACATACATAGTTTCTCTTCAAAGCCTGGTCTACACACACAGATTCAGTAACAGTATAACTATTTTGGTTAGGGATGTGATTTTTTTTTTTTTTTTTTAAACACAGAAATAGTTACCATTACAACATCTTGTGTGGATGCAATTATACCAGTATAAAGGTGCTTTATACCAGTACAATTTATTGCCCTTCCCATATGGGGAACGAGTATTACCATATAATTAAAGTGGCACCACTTGTGTGTGCAGACAAGGTTCAAGTGTCTTTGGCTCATGGTTAGAGTCCTTCAAAGCCATGTATGAGTTCCATTTTAGGGATCAGCATCTTCACAGTCCCTGAAGGGAGGCGAGTGGGACAAGAGACCATCTCTTTTGTGTTTGAAAGGAATCTAAGTCCTCCTGGTGACTGCAATGCCGATACCTCCTTGATGAGTAGATATGGGTATATCATCTTCAGCAAGGAAGAGGGATTCCTCATTTAAAAAAAAAAGTCTTAAGTCTTTGCCACCGTAACAGCTGCTAGGTCTGAGATGGAGAATGGCCTCTACAATGGCTATCTCAAGCCTGATTTTTTTTTCTCCAACAACGCTTGTCTCAGCCTGCATGTGTGTCATACAGTGACTACCGGTAGTTGTAGTCATTTTACCAAATTGTGAGACATGCCCTTTGCATTATCCTCTCTATGATGAGGACTCAGTTGTCAAATGAACTCACGCAAGGCTTGGGCCAGGGCTTCTGAACATTGGTCATTACAAGTGTTCCTGGCAGCAAACCAACATAAGTGGGTCTGAAGGGTTCTCTCAGGCTTTTAGAAAGGCCAGGATTATATGCACTAGCACAAGCTAACCATGGCCTGAACCATTAACACCAGGTCAAGTTGCCTAAAGGTGTAGAGAGGAGGGCATTGTCAATTGACAGAGGTAGTCCCTCTCCATGTGCACATCCATCCTGCAACTAGTAATACTGCTAGGGACGCTGCACCAGATAACGGTAGGAACTCTGCACTCTCCCATTTGGCTCCTTTGTTGACCCAACATGCTTCTCCAAGTGCCAACGGCTCTGACTTGCGGTTTCAGCACGTTGGTGGGAAGGGAGTTTGGAGATGAAGGAAAACAGTGGGGGCACTTGGCCTTCTCAGAATCCCCTAAATCAGTGGCTCTTAACCTTTCCAGACTACTGTACCCCTTTCAGGAGTCTGATTTGTCTTACATAACCCCAAGTTTCAAAATCAGACATAAAAATACAAAAGTGTCACAGCCACACTATTATTGAAAAATGGCTTGCTTTTTCATTATCAGAGGGGTAGCCATGTTAGTCTGGATCTGTAAAAAGCAACAGAGAGTCCTGTGGCACCTTTAAGACTAACAGATGTATTGGAGCATAAGCTTTTGTGGGTGAATGTTACATGCATCTGATGAAGTGGGAATTCACCCACGAAAGCTTATGCTCCAATACATCTGTTAGTCTTAAAGGTGCCACAGGACTCTCTGTTGCTTTTTTATTTTTACCATATGATTATAAAATAAATCAATTGGAATATAAATATTGCACTTATAGTTCAGTGTATAGTATACTGAGCAATATAAACACGTCACTGTCTGTATGAAACGTAGTTTGTGCTGACTTCGCTAGTGCTTTTTACGTAGCTTGTGGTAAAACTAGGCAAATCTCTAGATGAGTTGATGTCCCCCAGAAGACCTCTGCGTACCCCTGGGTGAGAACCACCGCCCTAAATCTTCTGAGGGGCAGATTGGAAGTCTCCTACCTCACCCCCCCACTCCACATGGGAGGAAATCCCTCCCTGTCGCCCCCCACCCCCGGGGGGGTGGGGAGGAGGGACTCCAGGGCGTGGACAAAAGGACCTAGCCTCACCTTTCAGGAGCAGGGTCTCCACGGTGTCCCGCACCCTGATCGAAGCCACCCCGGGGGGTTTGTACACAGCGAAGAGCCCATTTAGCCCGGTCCTAGCCGCTCTCCCGGCAGCCATGGCTATGGCGGAAGGAAATCGCCACCGTACGGGTTCATCAACTACACCGCTCCCCCAGTGGGCGCCGCCATGCGCTTCCGCCAACTGGGTGCGTCGATGAAAGCGCTCCCCCCGGGAGCAAGCGCTACGAGACGCACCCGTTCCGGGAAGATCTCGGCTGCTCAGATCCCTAGCTAGGTATAGTGGCCGAGCCGTGCCAAGCATCAGCAGGTGAGAGAAAGAGTTCTCAGGACAGGGCCCCGCTTGGGGCACCAGCCACACAAGTGACGACGGGCCCTGCTCCTTGGGGAGCCCCGTATTCCCCCAGCCCCCTCCTCCTGCGGGATAGCACAGGCGAGCTCCGCCCGGGCCAGGAGAGGGACCCAGCGGGGCTGGATCAACCCCCCCCCCCCGGCCCATGATGCACCGGGGCTGCGGCGGAGTGGGGGCACACGTGGTTTCCGGGCGGAGGGTGGGCCCCGAGCTCCGGCCTAGTCGCCGCTCACCGGATGCTGCCGATCTGCTGGCTGGGCAGGGCGCGCAGGGGGGGCTGGCTGCGGCGGGCTCCGGGCTCGCTGCGCGGCCCGCGGCCCCTGGCCCTGGGTTCGCCGGCCTCCATAGGCAAGTGGCTGCGCCGAGCCGGGGGGCTGGTGGGTCCGAGACGGCAGGCGGGGGGCTGCAGGCGAGCCTCCGTGTGGGCGGGACTGAGGAGCGTATCAGGCTCCGTTTTAGTTCTCCTGGGAAATGAGACCTGCTGCGCCCCCTGCTATCCCTGCCCTGGGCCCCCTCCCAGCTCTGCCAGTGCACCTCAAACCTGGTTTTGCAGCCCCCCTTACCATGGCAGGCCTGTCTGCACCCCACCTGCTCTGCCACGTCCCCGAGTCCTGAATTACAGCATCCCCTGTTCCAGTGCTACTCCCCCACCGCTCTGCCAGTGCACCTGTGACCTGATTCGCAACGTCTACTTCCTATTTCTCCCAGTTTTACAAATGCACAGCAATCCTGGCAACATCCTTTGCTGTGCTACTGTGTCCCACCTGCCCCAAACTCTGCCACTGCACCTCAAGCACCCCTAGTACTCTGGCTTTCTGTTTTTATTGCTGTGTCTTGTTCTTTGCTCTTATACATCTCTACTCCAATATAACGCTGTCCTCGGGAGCCAAAAAATCTTACTGCATTATAGGTGCAACCGCGTTATGTCAAACTTGCTTTGATCCGCCGGAGTGCGCAGCCCTGCCCCCCCGCCCCCCGGAGCGCTGCTTTACCGCGTTATATCTGAATTCATGTTATATCGGGGTAGAGGTGTATTAAGTATATTCCAGGTTACCCTAACAGTGATCATGCAGTAGCTTTATTGTTCAAGCCAGTGAGATCCTAGCCACAGCTCCCACCTGACTAGAACTCCCAAGCGTATGTGCTTATAATGGAGTATTGTTGCAAATCATGGGCCATGGTGATACTATAGACACCAGTGACCTGTAGTGATCTCTGATCACCAAGGGGCCTTGCATACAGACTGTGTCAGGAAAAGGACAAAGGAAGCCAAATTGGCAGATATGCACTGTCTTAGTTTTTGAACAGAGCTGTATTTTCCGGTTAACTCACTGCCCTGGTGTGGCTATGTTTTGCAGGTAGGGGAGATCAGCTACCCCACGCTGACCTGACAGTGACTGCAGAGGATCATGTGGATGAAGAGAGGTATTACCAGCTGTACCCAGGGCACATCCCCACCAGCCCTCTGCAGAAAGCACTGCTGTCTGCTGGCTCAGCATTTATGGCTCTCTACAACCCCTACCGGCATGGTAAGCTGAATCTTGCAGCTTTTATCCAGTTGTGGTCTCCACATTCTCATAGACTGTATTTCCCTCCCACCCCAGGAACCAGATCTGTGTTTCTGTTGAGAGATTCCCTGGGGATTTTCATTCTTTTATTTCCCCATCTCTACATTGTAGGAAAGAATTTGTGTTTAAGAAACCGAGACTGGCACGCAGAGACAGCTGTTAGTGCAGACAGTTAGTGAGAAAGATCCCCCTGCATATCTCTGCTAAAGCATCTCATTCCTCATCCCTTATTATTCCAAACCTCCCGGTTCTGCTAACCTCACTCCCAGTCTGCAATACTCTCTGCTGTTCCAGTCCCAGGCCCATAGCTCTGCCACCGCACCTCACTCCTGACCTTCAGAGCCCTCTCTGTGCAGCACTTGTGACTAGTTGCATGGCAATTTAAACCCCAGAGGTTGGAGGATGGTCTAGTGGTTAGGGTGCTTCACCACAGACTTCCTGAGTGACCTCCAGCAAGTCACATAGTCTCTCTAGGCCTCAGTTCTCCATGTGTGAAATGGGGATAATAGGACATCCTACCATGCAGGAGTGCTTTGAGGGTAAATGCATTAATGACTTTGAGGTGCTCAGATATTGCAGTGCTGAGGGCCACATAGGTACCTAAAATGTATTAGCCCTGTCTTGTGTCCTCAGGATTTTCATTCTTAACCAGAACCGCTGTTTGCCTGTTGCTCTTTTATTGTCAGTCAGTTTCCCATCCATTCTCTCTCTTTCCCCCCCTTTTTTCAGATATGGTGGCAGTCCTTGGTGAGACAACTGGCTCTTCAGCCCTGCGGAGCCTGAGGGACAAAATGAGGCATGACCCTGAAGGTTATCAGATCCTACAGTGCGTTATTGTCCCTCTTGCATGGCCTGTGGCAGGGAAGGAGACAAGCTTATGAGGCAGCTGTCTGGCTGGAGCAATTGTATCTATACCGCACGCTTCTGGGCAGGTAGTGCAGGCTCATGTCTACAAGGGGAGGCTTCTGGAATCATTGTGCTTACAGGGACAGGATGATTATGGTTTAATTCCCAAGAGATTTCCTCCTCCCCTGCTGATGTTTAGAATGGTCTTTTTGGCAAGTGCAAGAACAGCAGTAAACATACTTGGTGTGCAGGCCTGCCTACTTCCTCTTCGGTTTCAGCTTTGCTGCTGCTGCTAGTGGTGAATGCGCTCGTTCCAGATGTGGGAAACTGCGTGTATGTGAGCTTCCCCCCACACCAGTTCCTGAGGGTGATAGCAACTCCCACCCCGCGTGCCTGCTGCTGGATTTTCTTGCATCAGCCCGCCAATGACTGCAGCCTCCATCACCAATTTGTCTGCTTCTCCGACAACAACCTCTTTACTTTCTTCCATGCCACTCCCTACACTTGAAACCCCCTCCCCACACTGGTTTGGAACGACACTAATCCTATCCCTTCTGATCCCTCCTTAAGACCCACTTCTGCTGTGATGCCTACAGGAAACTGCCAGCTGGTACAGGGTTGATGCAAGTGCACATTCTTATTACTGTTTCCTTTGTCCTCCCTTTTCTGTATCTTCTGTTTGCTCGTTACACCTACTTCTCATGTATCGTCTTAATGACACTATAAATTCTTCGGGGCAGAGGCTGCCTTTTGCTCTGTGTTTGTAGAGCGCCTGATACGTTGCAGCCCTGACCCTGATTGGAGCCTCTGGGTGCTACTGCATTGAAATACTAAATAATAATAGTAGGGCATGTGACAGGAAGTGCAGCTTAGTGTCAACCAAGCAGTGAAACAACCATCAGATGCACAGGCGGGGTAAGACGGGGACTTTTATTTATTTCAGTTCTGGGAATTTTCGTTAATTGGTCCAAGGCACAACTTAAATCCCCCTTAATCCTTATCTGGAGGACTTAAGAGTGCCTAGGTCTAGCCTGTGTACATGGGGAGTTTCAGCCCGGAACCAAAGCTAGTATGTTATTGGCCTTTCAGTGCTTTGAATTGGCCCCTCCGTTAAATTTCTTCACTGAAAATCAGAGACATCCTGGAAAAAGGTGCCTTCTGTCTATGGGTCTTGTTCCCAGCTGTGCTCTGTGATAGGTCCTGAAGCTGTTGAAGCACCAACAGCTCAGCAGGAGGGGGCATTCAGTCCGCATTTGGGACAGACTTTTCTCTCCACTGACGTGCTGGTTGCTTCGTGAGGCCATGGCACTTTTGCTGTGAAGCCTCTGGCCAAAGTTTACCCCTCCCCGCCACCACTGTTGTGCACGGTGCTACGTACCTATCTCTGTTGCCTTAGAGGTGGCTGCATTTCAGAGGTGCTGTGCATAGAGAATTTGGCATCCTCCGCGATGAGTGGTGCTGTAGAAATGTGAGATAACAGCTTTACTGCTGCTCTGGCTCCTTTAAGTTCTCTGTGCCCTGATTCCCACCGGTGTGAAATAATAGGCAAGCAAGTGTTTGTGCAGGACTTTAAGAGCCAGTGGGGAAAGGCATCAGCAAAACCCTCGTGCCAAGGATGTGAATTCCAGCAATACAGCTGTCTGGACAGCTGGCCCTGGTTTTCTCAGCTTCCCTGGGGGGTTGCTGTGTTTTGTGAGTTGGCTTAGCCACTCTGTTTTTCATTTGCAGAGAGCGGCCTCGGATCCGGCTCTCCACCCTGGACGTGACTGGGCTCCGGGGGCTGCCGGATGGAACGTTTGGCCGAGAATATGTCCGGTTTTTGGACAGCAATGTGAGTGTGGGACCTAGCAGTCCTTGGGAGGCAGCAGGGCGTTTGGGGGCTGTGGATGGCGGTAGCTGATCTATCTGGTGAGAAGAGCATGGAAGGGGGGTCTGAGCCATCTGGGAGACCAGCAAGGGAGAAAGCAGACAGGGGAGCCTAAAGAGAGCCTCCGGTGAAATTAAATCGGCCTAGTGGATAGAGCACTAGACTTGGATTCAGGACACCTGGGTTCTGTTCCTGGCTCTGCCAGTGGCCTGCTGGGTGAACTGGGGCAAGTCACGTCACTGCTCCGTGCCTCAGTTTCCCTTTCTATACAGTGGAGATAATGATTCTGACCTCCTTTGCAGAATGCCTTAAGATCTCCTGATGAACAGTGCTATGTAAGAGCTGGGGATTATTATTATTATTATTAAAGAATCATAATGAAACATGAATTCCTGGCAGGTAGCAGGGGCTGAACCTGGGATGTTCTGATTTTGCAGAGGGTTTCTCCGGACACCAGGATGCCGGTCAAGTTTGTTGATGACGAGGAGCTGGCCTATGTGATCCAGCGGTACCGTGAGGTCCATGACCTGATGCACACTCTCCTCGGCATGCCCACCAACATGCTTGGTGAGTCCAGACTGGGTGTGACCGAGAGTCGTTACCGTCTAGCATGCTGCTGTGTGAAATGAATTGGGGGAGGTCTCAGCCAGGCTGCCAGTGGCCAGATGTCCACATCACAAAACCCATCCCCGCAGCTTGGCTGCCTTTTCAGAGAGGCCAAGGACTGAACGAGCCATGGAGGTTAAACTCCTCCAGGTCGGGGCTGTAGGCCACTGATGGGGCAGGGCGTGGGGCACGTTTGCTTTGCTGCTGTCAGCATTCCATCTGCGGTGTGGATAAAAAGAGAACCTCAGCCTCCAGGAACAATCACCCTTCACCTACATGAGAGACGCTCACTGAGTCACTGGCGTTGCTGAATAGGAAGAGGTTGAGTGGGCACTGCCCTAAAGGGCCGATGTTGAAACCTGCAGTGCAAGGAGAACGACTGCATGAGTGGATTGTTTCGTAAGCCAAAACGAGCTTTGAGCAAGTGTGGGCTGGATTCACGAGAAGGGGGATGGGAGGAGAAACGTTCTTTTACTTGAGCTCTTATCCGCAAATCAGCTCTGTCTGTTCTTCTGAATAAACTTAATAGCAAGTATCAAAAGGGGGAGCCGTGTTAGTCTGGATCTGTAAAAGCAGCAAAGAGTCCTGTGGCACCTTATGGACTAACAGACGTATAGGAGCATGAGCTTTCGTGGGTGAATACCCACTTCTTCGGATGCATGTGAAGAAGTGGGTATTCACCCACGAAAGCTCATGCTCCTATACGTCTGTTAGGCTATAAGGTGCCACAGGACTCTTTGCTGCTTTTAATAGCAAGTGGCAGGCTGAAATTGCTGACCTGCCGTTAGCTGAACAAGGCTTTAGGACCCTGCAGGAGCCTGGGCTTCCCAGTGTTTGGAGGTTTATTTTAAGAAGGCCTGGTACAGGCTGAGAGGCCTGACATTTGGCCTACTCCACCCTTCCACCCCCATCTTTTTGCATCACATTGTGGAGTTTACCAAGCTGCAAATCTTGCTGTTAAATAGAGCACTGGACTGGGATTCAGGAGACCTGGGGTCTGTTCCTGGCTCCACCATCAACTTTCTGAGTGACCTTGGGCAAGTCACCACCGCTCTGTCTCTCAGTTTCCCCATCTGTTAAATGGGGATCGTAACCAACTTTGTAAAGTGCTTTGAGATCTACCGATGAAAAGTGCTATAAAAGAGCTAGGTATTATTAATATTCTAATATGCTTGAATGCCAGCAGCTCAGGGCTCCCGAGCAACCCTACAATAACAAACCTGTGCAAGTAACTCAGTGTTCCCGAACAGCCTGACAACAATACAGTAATACCTATGATAGTGTGATTTGGGCAGCTAAGTCCCTTAGACACCTTTGAAAATCACAGCCTTAATTTTTAGGTTGAACTTTTTAAATGTTGTATAGAACCCGAATGTTAGGTCTACAGTATGGATGCTTATTTATTTGATTACTTTCAAAGGGTGCTTATGTCTCACACCAACGCATGGCCTGGAGTGCTCTCAGCCTTCTGCAGTGCCTCAGAAAGGGGCCTTCAGAATAAGTTAAGTTGGCTACAGAGCTTAAGGTCCTGATTCTGCTCCCATTGAAGTCAAGAACAAAACTCCCATTTGCAGCATTGCCTGAAAAGAGCAAGAATATTTGCATCAGCAGTGTCATGCTCATTCTGTGGAGAGGACCAGATCGCGTAGTTTAATTATGGCCCATGGACTGGGGTATTATAGCAGAGCAGTGGTTGCACTCTGGTCATATTTTGAAGGCTTTCTTCATGTAGAAACATGCTTTTAAAAAAAAAAAGGGGGAAAACCATCGAGCAGAAAAACATCGAGCAGGCCAGATACGTACTACGCTGGGTTTACAGTGAAAATGAGGGGGCCACTTGGAATAGTAACTTCAAGCCCCCAAGTTCCCTGACCAGTTTTTGTCATAAGAACGGCCGTACTGGGTCAGACCAAAGGTCCATCCAGCCCAGTATCCTGTCTGCCGACAGTGGCCAATGCCAGGTGTCCCAGAGGGAGTGAATCTAACAGGTAATGATCAAGTGATCTCTCTCCTGCCATCCATCTCCATCCTCTGACAAACAGAGGCTAGGGACACCCTTCCTTTTACAGTCAAGTTTTCCCTTCCCTTTTCCCATATGCTGGGTGCAAGATCCTCACAAACAAGTCAGTTTAACCTAAGGACTTGATCCAGTATCCACTGAAGTCAGTAGCAGCCTTTCTATTGATTCTAATGGGCTTTGGATCAGCTTCTACTGAATTATACAGGGAAAACAGTGAAACTGACTAGACACAAATTGTCAGAGAGTGAAAACAGAGAAGTAGGGCCAGATTCTCAGCTGATATAAATCAGGCTTGCTCCAGTGAAACCAATGGGGTTACAAATCCGTTGACTCCAGTTGAGAATCTGGTCCATTGTGCATGTTACGGTTACAGGGCCAGCTGCACCTCTGTCCCCTTTCTGGTCTCTCTAAGGCAGTGGTTCTCAACCTGCAGGCTGCATGCGGCCCAATTAGCACACAGCTGTGTGCTAAAGATTGCCCAGCCCACACGGAGGGATCCAGGGTCGGGGCTGCTGCCCAGCCGGCCCAGCAGGATCCGGGGTTGGGGCTGCCCGCCCGGCCCCACAGGATCGGGGGTCCAGGGTCGCCGGGTTCTGCTCCTGGCCCCACTCTGTGGAGGGGTCTCTGGGCGTATTGGCCCACAATTATAAATAGGTTGAGAACCACTGCTCTAAGGGCACCCCTCAGATGTCAGCCTCATGCCTTTACCTGTCCCAGGGTGGAAATCTGCAATTCTCCCAATCAGGCTCTGGGCTACAGCACCTTGTGGATCACCCATTCTTGTCGAGCAGGTCTGACAGGGATCAGACACCTGTGGGACTTCCCTGTGGGAGTCTGTGACCAGTGGTGAATAGAGTGATCAGAGGGCCTTCTAAATCTATTATTTAACAATAGGAACAAAGCATTTAAAGAAAAAGGATTGTAAACCAACAGTCTACACACACCTCTGTCTTACCTAATGGCTTACCCCCTCTTCCCCCCGGATGGTAGCCCCTAGACAGCCTCACCCACTGTCCCTTAACAACCCTCCAGTGCTGGAAAGTTGCTTACTTTGGCGCCATTCTTTTTCCTTCCTGTTTGTTTTTCCCAGCGTTCCATCCCATTAAACTAAACCAATCTATTTGTACGATAAACAACCCCATAACCAGGTCAACACACGATATTCATAAATTATTACAGAGCATCCCCACAGGCATCACAGAGCCAAATCCAGTCATTCCTGCATCATATCCAGAGCGGCACTCTGAGCTATTGATGGTGGCTCTCCATGCCATCACCAAATGCCAGCAGGAGGAGCCCCCTCCTTAGCTAGAAATAGGGTGACCAGATAGCAAGTGTGAAAAATCGGGTCACTTGGGGGGTGTGTGTGTGTGTGTGTTTATAATTGCCTATATAAGACAAAGCCAATAATATCAGGACATCTGGTCACCCTACCTGGGAAGCTAGGAGCTGATTATTTCTAGAGCCCAGAGGAAACACGTACAATCTTAGTACACTCTGAATGATGGCCCAGACAGGCACCTGAGGAAATAATTCACTAGGAAGAGGAGGGTGAAAAATAAAATGACTCCATTTCTCTGTTTTGACATGCGTCTAGATAGGGAGCTCTCATTCTCCTGGGTCTTCTCTGGCTTTCTTCCAGGGGAGGTTGTGGTGAAGTGGTTCGAAGCTGTTCAGACTGGCCTGCCCATGTGCATTCTGGGAGCGGTGTTTGGCCCGGTTCGTCTCAATGCCCGGTAGGTTGATCAGCCTGCGGGCTTCTGTAGAGCCTGTGCCTGGTTTGAAAGTCCGATTGAGAGGTTTTCTCTCCCATTATGTGTCTTCAAGATCCCAAATAAAATGGCAGCAGATGGGCACGACAGAGGGGACCTGTCTGCAAATGAGGGGGTCTTCCCAGTGGAAAGGGGGATTCATGTTCCATAGGTGTTCATAGGCAAAGATGACCTGGTGTGGAAGGAGATTATCCCACCCAAGAATATTAAAGCTCTCATGGCACCTGTCAACATCCCTAAAGGGAATTAACCTGCTTGTCTAGGTCTGATTTATGCCATGAATCCTAATAGGGCTTCCAGTCTGGAACCACTGTTCCTACCAACACTACTCAGTGAAATGTCTTCATGCAACAGAAAGCACCGTCTTATCTAGTAGTTAAAGCAAAGGACTAAGAGTGAGGCCTCGTGGGATCCATTCCCGTGTCCACCTCTGACTTCGCAGTGTGTCCTTCAGCACTTCACTTCTCTGGCTGTCCATCTCCTCCGCTGTGAAATGGGATAACAAGATTTGCCGGTCTCTGTGCTATGGAAGTGTTATGCGTCATTACATACTCAGCAAATGGATCACAGCAACGGTACCACTGAGCCCAGAGACCTCAGATTTTTCCCAGGGCTGTGTCTAGGCACCCCACAGATTGGCTTCTGGGAAGCAGCATAGTTTTGTGGTTCAAGCGTGAGACAGTCGGGAGATGAGGGTCTTGTCCTGGCTCACTGTGTGACCGTGGGTAAGGCACTTCCCCTCTCTGGACCGTAACTGCTTCATAAATTAAACAGGGAGAATGAGATTGACCTGCTCATGGGGGGGTTATGAGACTAAATCAATTAGTGCTGCTAAAGTGCTTTAAAGCCCTCAGATGAAAGGGGCTGTAGAGTGTGTAGTAGTATTGTGTGCTGCTGTGTACAGTGGTATTGTGTTTGGCTAGTGGATTGTGTTCCCAGGGAAGAAAGTAAAACCATTTCCACACCTTTATTGCAGGAAGCTGCAGATCCTGACCACAGAGCTTATTCCCTGGGCTGTTCAGAGCGGCCGCAATGCCAGCTGCGTCCTGAATTTCTACTACGAGAACCGCTGGGAGCAGACAGTGGAGTCCCTGAGGGAGGAGATTGGAATCTTACATCCCCCTGCTATTTGTGTGTAAAAGTCTGGGGGGCAGGCGGGCATAGTGGGCTTCACACCCGCAGGATGGATCCTCACTGGGCACCGTACGTGAGGAGCAATGAATAAACCCTTTGCAGGTTCAAGTCTCCTGGGAATTCTCCTACAGCAGTTGAGGGCACCAGTCTGCCCAAATGAGATGCTGGGTTGCCAACTTGCCAGGAATGTAAGGGCTGCACCCAGGGCCAGATTCATTGCTGTTGTAAGCGGCTGCAGCTCTGCTGATGTCAGTGAAGTTGCACTTTCACGCCCCTAAGGTGAATTTGAACCCGGTGGCTGTCTTAGTCCTCAGCGTAGAGATATGGCCCATGGAGATAAGTCCCACCATGCAGTGTACCAGCTAGATCCTAGCAGAGGCTGGGACATGGAGTCTCCATGCGCTGCGTGTCTTCACAAGACCCCATGGTAGGGCCCCATGGTCTGCATTCAGTTATCCCTGTATACTGGAGTGGGGAAGATGGGAAGCAGAGCTGGGTTAAAGTAGCACTGAAACTATCTAGTAACTTTTGGCTTCTGGTTGCTGTAGCATTCCCTAGGTGAATACCTACCCCCCCTTGGGAGCTGAGACAATTAATTCCCTAGGGGACCATTCTACCCCAGTTAAAGCCAGTTGTTTTACAAAACAGCACCGGGACAGACAATGACAAAATGACAGCTGATCAGCACGAGTGCTCTGCCCCCAGCTGTACGGACTTGCACTGATGGAGGCTGTAGGAATGTATTTTGTGTCTCTGGTACAGCTCGATCGATCAATCGCATACCCGCTTTGGCAGCTGGGAAGCAGTTAGGCTCTCGGTCAGTCACAGTGAAACCAAACCCCACTGAGTTGGGAGGGCATGTGTGTCAGTGTGTCAATTGCTGCATACCATTTAAAATAAACAAAATCCACCACCGGCATCCCCCTCGCTGACTGTCTCAGCAGCCAGGCCAAGGATTGAATGGGCCACGGGGCCTGAGCTCCCCTCTTGTCCCCAACTGGGTCCCTTCCTGTTTACAATAGAGGCACAGTGAGCGGCTTGCCAGGGGGAAGCACTTACTGACTCTGTCCAGGCTCTACCTGCTCCGAGGAGAGAAGATTTCAGTCTCTAATTCCACATGATCTTGGCTTTGTTTTCAATAGCAAAATAGTGCTCAGTGTGCTCCAGCGCGCGAGGCTGTATATCTGCAGAACGGAGGGAGGGAGAATGAGGTGATGAATCCCACAGGGAATGGAATGCTGAGATTGCACACGCTGTTTGTGCTGGGTCAGTGTTTATAAACTGATTTCTGTGCGGTGTAACTAAGTTGGGTTCCACACTTATAAGGCAAATAACAAAGCCCAGATTGAATAGTTCTCGGTGCTGGGCTGGGACGCACCAAAGCAGGATGTATTTTAATGTGGCGTTTTGAGGCTGACGTTCCTTTTTCATGCATAAAATCCCTGGTGACATTTACAGCTTTGTCTACCCCCAACACACAGATCAGACAATCTGACGTGTAACCTCATCCTTCGGAGGGGTCTGTTCTTTGTACGTTTGCTGCAGCCGGAAACAGACCGCCAGTGTGTATGTGCAGCATGCCTCCCAAGTGGAATGCAGACACAAAGCAGGCTGTGTACGTGCATCTTCCACAGTGGTTGTGGTGGCAGAATTACCTGCTCTCTGATAGGGCCGCATTGGTGCGATTGGGAGCCAGACCTTGTTGCCAACATACACCCTGCAGACTGCTGATAACCGGGAGTTTGGTCCTGGATCAGCTCTTTGCAGCCAGTGTTCACAGGCAGTTGCTGGGATAATCACTTCTCCCTGTGTTTGTCGTACATAGCCACAGGCGGGGCGGAACACAGTGTCTATGGAGTGCAGGGTGCCTTTGCAAACAGTTTAATCTTCACAACCCCCTGAGAGACGGATAGTATCATCCCCGGCTTTGTGGGTGGGGTAACTGGGTGACAAAGAGGACAAGTGACTTTGCTAAGGTCCCCCAGTGAATTAGAGGCAGAGCTGGGTCTTGAACCTGGGAGTCCAGATTTCTAGCCCACACCCTGCAGGCAGCATTTTGGCTTTCCACAATGGGATGCAAAGAGCTTCCAAAAACATTGGATGTGTCCCTCCAGCGATGGGCCCAGCACAGCGTCTGCCTCCCCCCATGTTCTCAGAGCACTGGGGTAGGTGCACCTTCTGCACCGAGGACCAGTGCGCTGTGGTCTAAGGCTTCCTGTTCTGTGAATGGTGTCTGGAAGCCACTGCAGGCGGCGGTGAGGTCTTGCTCACAGTCTCACGGTCTTTGCTGCAGTGGTGAGAGCCAGGCAGACGTGGAACTCCCTCCAGCAGCCTGGGGAGACTAGTAAACACCTGCAGCTGGCACTTGTCCCTTCTGAGGCCACAATCTGGTCTCGTCATGCTCCCTCTTGTGTATTGCAACCTCCTCTCATCTCTGCCCCTGCAAAATGCATCCCCCTTTCCCGCAGCGCTGCCCGAGCCTGCCTGCTACTTCAGTCATGGCACTGACTGCGTCTCCGTTCTCCTTTTGGAAACTGGGCTGTCCCCGGGAGCAGACTCGTGCTCAGGTGTTTCTCACCGAGGCTGGAGGGGTCGGAAGGGGCACAGGAAGACAATACTTACCTGCAGAGAGCTTGGCCTAGCCCTGCCTCCACCTGGTTAGGAACTTCCAACTGTGCCCAGCCTCTCACCCTCCCCGCTTCTGTCCTCATGCCAGGAACCAGCGGGGGGCTGGTGATTCTATGCTGCAGAGGAAGTTAGAACAGGGAGATGAGAAGATGGCCCAGAGCCGAGAATGGCTGTGCACAGACAGGCTAAGCAGGGAGTGCGACTCTCCCATCCTGCTTGGGGAGCTGTGTGAGGGGGAGGGAATGCACTTTAAACAGTCATTGGGGCAGGGGGAGCTAGACTGGAGGGGAGTCTGGCCAGGTGCTGATGGATGAGATATCCCGCCTGCCTGCTTACCTTCCCACAGGGCCTGTGGGGGAAGTGTCATCTCCATCTACAGAGGTCTCCATAACTCCAGCCCTGCCTCTCCTCTTCCTCCGCTCTTCACTCTCCTTCCCCTGTCCCCTCCCTTTGCGGTTTCACCCACTTCTAAAACTGTGTCAAATGTCACACGAGCCACTTCCCAAATCAGGGGAAAGGCCAAGCCCCGTCCCTGCTTCTGTGAAGTCCCTTCACACAATGCTCCAGTTCTAATGGTCAGGCCCCGATCTGGGTCTCAGCTGATATATAATCTTGTGGCCCCAGACCAGGGGTTCTCAAACTAGGGGTCACAAGGTTATTACATGGGGGGTCACAAGCTGTCAGCCTGCACCCCCAAACCCAGCTTTGCCACCAGCATTTATAATAGTGTTAAATTACAAAAAAAAAGTGTTTTTAATTTATACGTTGGGGTCGGACTCATTGGTTTGCTGTGTGAAAGGTGTCACCAATACAAACTAGACCATAAGCTCTAAGGTGAGAGCCCTCTTATCCGCTTGGCACCTGTTAAGAGACATGTGGGAAGTCCATTTATCACATAGCTCTGCATGGATCTCACGACCCTACATGCAGGGTGTGTATATCTATTATCTCATCTACACAAACAAACAAAACTGGGTTAACATGGAGTTAGGGGTATATTTCTGAACTCCATTCATTGATTAAAAAAAAAATGAGACTATAGTAAATGCTGAGCTTAAGGTTCTTTCTTAAATGTTATGACATAACCACTGCATCTTTCATAAATGACAGTTCAATAAATTCACTTGTAATCAAAGTACATGTAGAATCAGGTTTCTCCTTTTCTATTGGTGTAAATCAGGAGACGCCCCAGATAAGCTACAGTGTAAAACTGGTGTAAGTGAAAAGAGAATTTGGCCCAAGGACTGTCTCTATCAATGGGTTACCTTTTGAGGTGTCTGAATGTTTACAGTATTAATCTAGAAGAACACAAAGAAATGCTATAAAACTTGTGCTGACTTTCAGGAAGGAGTCTGATAGATAGTAAGCTCTTTGGGACAGGGGCTGATATTTACCGTGTTTGTACAGCACCGAGCACCTAAGACCCTGAGCTGTTTGGACTTTAGGTGCTACTGCAATATAAAAGTTAAATCATAATATTAAATTTCACATTTACAGCTGCACCACAACTTTCACAAGAACTTAACCTGGGGCCCATCAGTAAGTGGGATGAGTTTGGGAAGGAAATATTGAATGTTTTTCATATACATCCATGAAAATAAAGGCCTGATCCAGCTTCTGTTGTGATTGATAAGAGTCTTTCATTTGAGTTTAATAGAAATTGGATCAGACCCATAATCCACACTTTACATGCATTTTTCAATACAACTTTAACAGGAAGTGTGTTAGTGCCTCTATAATAATAATAATAATTAATACCTAACTTTTATATAGCACTTTTCATCAGTAGATCACAAAACACTTTACAAAGGAGGTCAGTATCATTATTCTCATTTTACAGATGGGGAAACTGAGGCAGAGGTCCGTGAAGTGACTTGCCCATTATAATGAAGGATAGAAATATCACTCCTTGGCTGGAAGGAAAATGGACACAGACCCTTTAAGACCAATGTGTGCCGATAAAGTCAGGGGAAATAGAGATGTCCTGAAGTATTCCTCCCATCATTCAAAAGGTTCACAACTGACACAACAAGGGCAGATTCCTAGACAGGGAGTTAGCTCAATACTGACATTAATGAGGCTGCTGCTCTAGTGTATTTGCGCGGCTCCCTGATGAACTGGGTGAACTTTTGGTAGAGCCATCCTAGGTTTGTTACATTATTATTGCTCTGCAAATTGGTGTTTTCAGAGATTCATAACTTGGTCATCAGTATGTTAGAAATATTGTGTCTTGGCTCAAAGTTGCTACATCTCAGTCCGAGGTATTGGGTTTTATTTTATTTAGCAGTGTTGTGGATGAGCAGAAAGTGTTTCTGGCATCAGAAACCCTTGTAGGGTAAAAAAAAAATGTATCCTTGATTAAAATTAATTTTCAGCCATGGAATACCTTCAAATTAGACTCAAAGGGATCTAGGGACTGAATCCAAAGTCCAGTAAACTCAGTGGAAAGACTCCTATTTTCTTCAATGGGTTTGAAATCAAACCCTTAGTCTCCTCTGAGTATGGAGAAATGTCAGGGCCAGATGAAAGTATGAATATGCAACCCCCACATCTGCCACTAAAATAACATTTTAATCCCTGATCCTGCACTCAATTCTGCAATTCATGGTTAGTAGGCTCTATGCCGGCTCAGCAGTTCATATAGATGTAGGGCTGGAGCTTTAGCAGGTGAATAACTTTGTCATTTAGGTGTGGGGGCGGGGCTACTCTTTTGACTAAAGTTACCCACATGCTTAAGTGTTTGCAGGACCTGGGCCTTAAAAAACATCCTGCAAATAAACTGATTTAAGCAAAGGATAGTTTCAGAAGAGTTAAAAACCGATATTTTTTACTCCTAACCCTTTCTTCCTCTAACAAATCTTGCACTTGAAATAACATCAAACAAACAAACAAAAACAAACAGCCTTTGAAGGAAAAATATCAGAGTAATTTTGATGTTCCCCTATTTAATCATGTTTTGTGTGTTTTAAATAGCATCCTAAAAAAGAACCAATTTTAAAATAACTTCATAACTAACCAGCTAAAAACACTTCACCACCAAGCCGGGGAGTTTGAAAATAACATTGGCCAAAATTAAAACACATTTAGAGGGAACGCTTCATAAATGATCCCGTAACATCCTTCACAAAGACATCGGTTTCCTAACACCAAACTTCCAAGTACCGAACTGAGTTTCAAAACTGCCCCAGCGAAGCGCGCGAGTTTGAAACTGACACCCTTCAAAAACGAACCGATTCACCAGCCAACTTTTTCCGCCCTGTTGCTCTCCAGCAGCCAGGTTTGCCAATGATTACCCGGGGAGGGCGCAAAATACGACTCTGGTGGGACTCGAACCCACAACCTTTGAATGACTCCATCTGTCATCGCGCTAGAAGTCCAATGCGCTATCCATTGCGCCACAGAGCCTGTCGGAGGAACTGAGGATCCGCCACATCCACTTCTTGACCTTTGCACGGAACAGCCTGACTCAAGCGACTCCTCTTGTCCACCTCCAGCCGCTGGGTTTCACTTGCAGCTCCGCTCTCCGCCGCCGACCCGCTCCCCAGCCCCAGCCCCAGGCGCCCCATGGCGCAGAGTTTGCAAAACTTCCCCCC